CAGATGGGAGCCCCATGACAAGATTTGTACCTCATGTGCCAGGAGAATCTTTGGGTATGTATGGCGCCTTGAGAATGGTTAGTGGTAACGTGCAATTTTGAAACTTTAGTATGCAATTATTCCATATGAATATCAAAAGCAGCATTAAAGTTGCACAAAGAATGTCTGAATGAATGTGCAGTTAGTCCTCTCATTATATTTCTATGAATGTATCTTTAAGCAATAGAGAAAAGTACACTCAAGCTATGCAGTCTAGACGTTGTAGTCTAGACACTGATCACGCAGCGTTTTCATTCCTTTCTTGGCTTTCAATTCAAAACTAAAAGCATTCATTAGTCCTTAACTTTTTTCTACAATAATACCAAAAGCCATATTCATATTCTGGGTATGTGGCTTGTGTACAAAATGCACAGCAGCAGTATTTTGGAGTTTGTCTTTGTTTACTTGCTTTAGGTTCAAGGGCAGAAACACGTGATCTCTACCCTCCTGTAACGGGTCCTCACTGTGCACAGTCACTGTTTGGATGCTGTCCTGACAGCCATACCCCTGCATCTGGGCCCAGAGGCCAGGGCTGCACAGAAGAAGACTGTGTCCGCAGCAGGTGACAGTCTTCCTGAGTCTCATCCTTTAAATCAATAGACATTAATCAAATGGCTGAACACTTTCTTACACTCAAATCTGTCCTCAGGTATGGCTGTTGTTCGGATGGAGTGACACCAGCTCAAGGAACAGGAAGGTCTGGATGCCCCGAATATCAGACTGTGGTAAGAATCGAATCTGCTTTTCACCTTAACACATTAAACTTATCAAAGTTAAGTAAAGTCGTAATGAACTCTTAAAAAGGTGTTTTAGTGACATTATGGCAGCCCGTATGCTTTTATTTAGTTGTTTCCGTTTTTATTGTTACAAGGTAAAGTTAAAGTTTGAAATAAACCACTTAGATATAAGAGTATAAATGTAATCGATTTTACAATTATTATCTGGGGAACTACAAAATGACAGTATGATGTCACAATGTCACTATCTGCATTATTTTGACATTGTATTGTTTTATTTACCTAAGATACATGAGGTATAGAGTACAAGTGCAAATGTTTTATTGTTTTAATTTGTTTATTTAACTGGATTTCTTCCGAGATTTGTAAAAATATGAAAAATATAACATAGACTGGTATCTTTTTGTATGTCACGTTTTGTATCTGCTATATGAGGCAAATGCAAAGAAAACTGACCTGTCCTCTCTTTCTTATCTCAAAACAGCAACACCCATCATCCTCTGCACATTCATCCACTGGTGCTGTGTGCTCTCTGCCTCGGGATGAGGGTCCTTGTGATACCTGGACTGTGAGGTTCACCTATGACTCTCGCATGGGAAAATGCACAGAGTTCTGGTACGGAGGCTGCCATGGTAATGCCAATAACTTCATGTCCCTGGAAGCCTGCCAGCGAGAATGTGGGGGTGTGAGGAGGGAGCCTGCATCCACACCTCGTAGAGAGAGCTCAGTCAGAGGGTCACTCGGTGGCATTGCGAGAGCAAGGGCCCAACGATCCCGTGCCCAGCGCAGAGCATAAATCAAGCACCACCTTTACGAAAATATCATAAAATACTAGTTCACATATGGATGAAAATGTTAAGGAACAACCTGAACTCTTGACCTTTACCAAAAAGAAAGTTGTTATAATAAAGTTATTTTATTAGCATGTCTTAGGTGGACCTAAAGATACCTAAGTCAGAATTTCAATTCTAAATTAATCAGAGTTGTATCATGTATAAGTTGTTAAACAAAACAGTTATGTAAATAATTGAAAGACTTTAATATTTGTTCTATTCATTAGACTTCTGTCTGTGATATGAAGTATTGGGATAAAAGATATTAACAGAAACATGGCCTGTAAATCTAGCCATATTTTGTGTTTTGATAAGTACCTGACCCAACAGCTTGAATAATCATGATTGCTAATAGGACAGGTATAGTGATACCTTTCCACTCTGTTGTTTTTATCTTTGAAAGTTTTTCTGATGATCTCTATCTTCACTTGTAATTTTTTTCTTGTGTCAAAAAGTAAATTAAACATTGTCAGAGCAACTTTTCTTCATCATCTCTTCATCAGGAACTCCAGCAAATAAAACATGCCTTTCCTGGCTACTTTGCAACTTTTAAGCTGTGCTTTGTTTGTTTCTTTCATTATTTTAATTTTGCATTTTAATATGGCATAATTTTAGCAAATACTTTCTGTTTATTAAAAAAAATACTTTTGGGGGATACACATAAAATAATGTTTTCATCCCTCGGTGTTTTATTTTGAATCAAAAGACTTATTTTGAAATCAAATATCTCTCCATCCGGAAGTCCTTTTACGTGATATCCTGGCAGCATTTTCTAGAGCAACTGACATTTCACGGTGATTTGAGACCTTCAAAAAACGATTTGTTTGAGTTTTGCATCCCTTATAATTAAAGAAGATCCGTGGTGAGAAGAAAATATGGTAGGTGCGGTTTGTTCTGAGTTTAAAAAAAATCACTCCATCCTCAATCAGCGAATTTAGCCCCGGTCAGTCTCTTTCTGCTAAGCTAACCAGTGTAGGGGGCTAGCGTTTGTGACTGTTTTCTGGCATGTATTTGATACCACTTCCTCTGTTGCCGTTTTACTTTACTTTTACCACTTAGTTTCACCAGCATTATATTTGCATACAATAAACTCTGGCAGGATTTTTAATGATAAAATCCCTTATTTGCTCAATTTTAGTGAATGACGTTAAAGTAAAGTAATTGGTCTGCTAAAGGACCAACGTTATTCCAGTTTGAAAACGAGGGGAGAAAAGGTTTCCTATTGTCCTTTACCGCATAAGTTAATCAAACGTTTTGTTGCCATATGATAAACTGCAATATATGCTTTAAATAGTGTTAATGTATTTTACAGTCGCACACAATTTTGCTTGTCCAACCGACCAAGAGACCAGAGGGACGCACGTATGCGGACTACGAGTCGGTGAATGAGTGCATGGAAGGTATTGATTAATTAATTGAAACCTGCTGAGGTATTTAGAAAAGACAGTTTTATTGGTCATTGTCTCATTTATTGGATAGCCATTTAGAAATTAATGTTTCATTTTGAAGCCTGGAGAGAAATTTTACATATGAATTTTTAGATGCATTTACTAGGGCAAACCCCAGACTTTTATTGAAATTATTTTGTATTGAGCACTGGTTTATTTCTAATTATTAATATTTACAGAATATTTGCCAGCCTATTAGTAGAATTCAAAAATCTTATTGCATTGTAAGCTACTTCTTTTCTATTATCTGGGTTTTACAGAGAATTTGTCCTCACTAAATATGTCTTTAACTTGTTTTCCAGGTGTTTGCAAAATGTATGAAGAGCACCTTAAAAGGATGAATCCGAACAGCCCTTCCATAACTTATGACATCAGTCAGCTGTTCGATTTCATTGATGACCTGGCTGATCTGAGCTGTCTTGTGTAAGTATGGCTTTGAGAGATGACCAGCCAAGCCATTTTTGTGCTGATCCCTTTCTCAATTAATCATTTTACCATTAATACAGGTACAGAGCTGACACTCAAACATACCAACCATACAACAAAGACTGGATTAAGGAGAAGATATATGTTCTTCTACGGCGTCAAGCTCAGCAAGCAGCAAAGTAAAGGCATCTCTGATTTGTTGTCCTGCTACACACACTTGAAAGGAGTTAGTGCTGCTCTACAGTTACACAGCACACTCTAGATTTGTGTATTACGACAGCATTGTAAGTCTGACAAGGGCAGTTTTCCATAAAATAGTGTACATTTATTATACTATACATTGTAAAAAGAGCATTTTTTTAAAGATGGGGGTGTGGGGGGTATTTTGGACTTTAAACTGAAATTGCATGTCAATTTCAATGCTTGGCAGCTTTTTCTTATTCTCATTCATCTGTTTCTAAATTGTTACATGATTGTGAGAATGGAGATAATGGCTAGAAGCACTAACTTTTTGATGGCAAGAGATCCCCTCTGCAAATAAAATCCCCCATGGTTTTTTGTTTGTGCAAGTGCAGTGGGCTTCCAATGCAGGTTGTATACTATGGGATTTGGTTAAAGTGGAGACTTGTTCTCCCATTTATCAAACAACTCCCAAAAGGTTGATTTGTCTTTTTTTTTTTTTTTAATTTCTTATGCTATTACCACATGGATTTAGTTTCATGATGTGAACTTTTTTTGTAAACCTTTTGTCTGATTGTGTCTGAACCACCTGGTTTTGTTTTTTTTAATCATGTTTCAGATTTCTTTGATTTAAATAAAAGAAACGGTTGTTTTCTGATTGGCCTCCTTTCTTGAATATACAAGTTGTTAAAATAATAAAGTATACATTTGTTGCTGGTTCTTTTCTGGATTTAAGTAACATTGAGTGGGAAATTCAATTAAACTATTTTAGTTTGTGCTGCTGAAATGCATTGACCTGTAAAGCCCTTATTTTCTCATGCATTCATCAATAAATATTATGTACCTTAATTTGGCTTTCAAAAATAATATGAAAGTTTATTTAAATTGGGGTCTGGTGTTTAATATGTTATTATAGATGTGAATAGACTTGGGGAAAAGATCTGTACGATGAAAAACAGGTTTGATGTTGTTTTGGTCATAGATTGTAATAAGACTTGTTACTCTTGTCGGCGCATTGTCCCCTTAGGAGTCGTCTGAAGTGCCTATTTTGCACGTTACTGTCTCTTTAAATGTGGCGGGCTGCCCCGTTGTTGTCGTGCTGGAAACCCCGTATTGACTCTGAAGGGACCCAAGATGGCTGAATACTCACGGGGGGAACTTAGCAATTATCTGTGCAACACGTCTGGAATGAATGGCAAATAGCAGTATAATGTAAAGCGAAAGCTTCAAGTAATTCTACTACTCAGTTTAGCTGGTTTGCATATTTTTGGGGATGCCTGAATATGAGTTAGGAGAGAGTGGTCTCTCCGCGGCCCCGAGCCAGAACATGGCGGAACACTTGGGGAAGAAATAGCAGCTAGTGCTAGTTAGCTGTCGTATTATTTAAAGATAATCATAAACGTCTTTTTGGATTAAAGCGATATTTGCAACCCGCAAGTATGATAACCTGTTAATGACTTATAATTACAGTCAGTTTGTTTCAAATAGTGTATTTTACATTGAATATGTTTAGAAAAGGCAGTTAGCGTACGAGCTAGCTCGCTAGGTGTCGTTGCTAAGGTATCTGGCTAACGTTACCTGAAAGCGTACAAACTGTACCAATAAGCACGCAGTGTGTTTTATGAACAATCGAACTCAACAGTGGCATCTTCTCTAAAAAGTCGTCTCGCAGCTGTATGTTTGGTCTTTTGTCACATCTATCAGCCGCTGGTTTGTCGATTAACGTGAACGTCCATGTCCTTCGCGATGTTAATTAGACTGTCGTGAGCTTTCTTCTGTGGTTCGCTGTCTTTACGCAGCGCTCTAACCGAATCCCAAAATAAGTTTTGAGAAATATTGTCAAAATTGATCACATTTTAGAGTTAAGGGTGCACAATCGATCAGGGAATATTACAGAGGTTTCTCCGGGAGTTATTTCTTTGAAGCTACTTCAAAGATCTGTCGCCTAAATTGCTCCCACTCAAAAGTTGTCAAAATTGCATTGAAGAAGTGAACAAGTGTCAAAAGTGAATTGAAGCTGTGGCGTTACTAGGTGAGGCAGAAGCCCTTTCAGAGCCAAGAAGGTCCGGGTCATCACCTGCCAGGATGACTGACACTCGTAGACGAGTTAAAGTCTATACCCTCAATGAGGACAGACAGTGGGATGACCGTGGGACAGGACACGTCTCCTCTGGCTATGTGGAGAGATTGAAAGGCACGTCTCTGTTGGTGCGAGCTGAGAGTGATGGTAAGCAAACAACGGTCACAAAAATAGCTCATTCCCATTTGAAGATGGCATGTATTTTAGGCCCCATTGTTCTTGCATGACAAGTACTAAATAACAGTATTACTTTGTAATACCGTCAAAATAACCTGCTCCAATACCTGTACAAATCATGCTTTCCATACATATGTATTCTTATGGACCTTTTGTGCTTTAATCTAACAGGTTCACTATTGTTGGAGTCCAAAATCAACCCAAACACAGCCTACCAGAAACAACAGGTCAGTTTGATTGATGCATGCTTCAAAAGTATAAACATAGAATGAGAGTTTACTTTCTGCTGTGTATTAATCTTAAATTCAATTTTATTGATGTATTTATTTTCCAAAGGATACGTTGATAGTGTGGTCAGAGGCTGAAAATTATGATCTGGCACTAAGCTTCCAAGAGAAGGCTGGGTGTGATGAAATCTGGGAAAAAATTTGCCAGGTAATTATACGTTGTGTGCATGTTTGTCATCGTTCAAGTTTATCTGAAGCACGTCTTTAGTAATATGGTCTATATTTAGGGCTGTCCTAATTAACTTATGTTTGTGTCATTATTAAGGTGCAGGGAAAGGACCCATCAGTGGACATCACGCAGGATGTGGTGGATGAGTCTGAGGAGGAGCGCTTTGATGACATGTCATCGCCAGGCTTAGAGCTGCCCCCATGTGAATTGAATCGTTTGGAGGACCTTGCTGAGCTGGTTGCTTCCTCACTTCCCTCCCCGCTGCGACGAGAGAAACTGGCACTGGCTGTGGAGAATGAAGGCTACATTCGCAAGCTTCTGGAACTGTTTCGCATGTGTGAGGACTTGGACAACAGGGAGGGACTGCACCACCTCTATGAAATCATTAAAGGCATCTTCCTGCTGAATCGCACTGCACTCTTTGAGGTCATGTTCTCAGATGAGTGCATCATGGACGTTATTGGTTGTCTGGAGTTCGACCCAGCATTGCCACAGCCCCGGCGGCATCGTGAGTTTCTCACCAAGACAGCCCGCTTCAAGGAAGTGATTCCCATCTCTGATCCTGAACTGCGTCAGAAAATACACCAGACATATCGTGTGCAGTATATTCAGGACATGGTGCTGCCAACGCCCTCAGTTTTTGAGGAAAACATGCTGTCCACCCTGCACTCCTTCATCTTCTTCAACAAGGTGGAGATTGTGGGCATGCTACAGGTGAGGTGTATGGATTTTCTTTGTCCCTGTTCTTCACAAACATATTCTCACAGAGCGACATAATTTCAAAGTAGGTGATTCAGAAGTATAGAACCTCATTACAAACTGAACTGGAAGTAGACCAACCTGTTTGAAAATGCAGACAAAAGAGACGGCAAATCTTTTCAAATGGTGTTTAAATAGATGGAGATGAAAATATCAGTAATTTTACTATTGTGCAGAAGTTTGGATTTTACTTTATTCTGTTTTTACCTGCCTGAGATGATCTTTTAGTCTTTTATGGTCATGTGACCTTTGTGTTTTTGTACAATGTCAACTCAGCAGTGTTTATGTATGGCTGTCTCCATAGAGATAGAAAACTGTTGTGTAAATCAGTTATGCTGTGCAAGAGGAAAACTGAAAAGGGTAGGCTGTTTACTCTGGTGCGTTGTGCTGTGTGGTTTTCTGAATCCGAGCACTACTGTCATGAACCTTTCCTTCCCCTTACTTTGAACATCTCTGGTCAAGCGACACTCCAAATAAGTGTTTTAGACATTGCAACTTTTTATTCATATAGTGGCACTTTTTTGTTTTAAAATATAAATACACCTATAGATACTATTTTTTTGTAACATTTGTTTAGATTATTTATGGATTAACTGTTGAGATGAATGTATTGCGCTCATTGCTAGTTGATGTAAATGTGTGTTGTTGTTTTTTTATTTTCAGTTGTATCTAACCAGTGCTGTTGTAGTTAATCAGCTGTAATACCTATGTAAATATGTCAGGATCACAATCTGGTTGTACCCTGTTGTATCGATTTTCTCACAAAATCATTCTAAGAATTTTTCTCCTTTTTGATGTCAGGATGATGAGAAGTTCCTCACTGATCTATTTGCACAGCTAACAGATGAGGCCACCGATGATGACAAAAGACACGAACTGGTATGTCAGGATTTGATAACATTATCCATCATGGTCATGGTGTTCAAGACTGAATTATTTTTGTCCCTTATTTCGCACAACCATGTTTTCTTATTTTTCACAGGTAAACTTCCTAAAAGAATTCTGTGCTTTCTCACAAACATTACAACCTCAAAACAGAGACGCCTTCTTCAAAACATTGTCAAACATGGGCATTCTACCTGCACTAGAGGTCATACTGGTGAGTGTAGTTTGATGTTTGAAGAGAAGTTCATTACTGGATTATAATTGGTTTGGATGCTGATGCTACAGGTTTTGAAATTTTGGGGTATTTAGACAATAATTCGGTTTCATCTTTAACCAACAAACCATGACTGCATTATTGTTTTTAGATGACTGAACCTCTTTTGCTGTTTAATTTGAAGCACTTCTTGATAATTATTGACAATATAGAAAGTATCTTAGTATGAGAGAATGTTGCTGTCACCATTGTTGCTGCTGCAGGGTGTTGTTATTTTGTCTAAGAGGCCATGGAAAGAGGAATGTTTTTGGGATAGCTGTATTTTGGCTTGATTTTCCTACATTAAAGAGTTGTGACTTATTACAGTTGGTTTTACTGTGCGTCACAAAAAACAACTCTTGTCCTTCCCCTATATCACATTTGTCTTAAGCATATTTTAATTTGTGTTGATTGAATAGAATAATTGCGTTTTTCCTCCTCTTAGAACTGTGTATTTATATCTTGAAATGCCGTGGTTTACCCCACTGCTGTGTTACTGAAGAGCTGAAAAGGGAAGAACCAACGTTGGCTGTAGTGACCTTAGATCCCCTCCCCCCACACAGATTTGGTTTATGACCCTTTACACACAACAGCATAGCAGAGAAGACAATTTTCATTTCCTGTTTGATTGAATGGCGCTTTTCCATGTTTTTTTCCTACCTTGTGCACTGGTGTTTTTAGTGTGCTTGATCAGAAAAAGCAGTCAATAAGAACTTGGAAGTTGTTTTCCTCATGGCCGTCATATCTGTAGACAGTAGAGGTGTGTGATGTGAGGAAGCCAGAGGCCAACAGATAATGAATCAAGAGTGATGAGTTTTCCTCAAGAATAAATTAAGCTTCCTAACAAATGTATTTTTTCCAACCAGGGAATGGACGATGTTCAGGTGCGTGGTGCAGCCACAGATATCTTCTCGTATCTTGTGGAGTACAACCCCTCCATGGTACGAGAGTTTGTCATGCAGGAATCTCAGCAGAATGACGACGTGAGTATCTGAAAAATAGGAAAAGACAATGGCATTAATTCTCATAGAGGTGGCTATAAAATAATGCTTCTCCATCTTTCAGGACATCCTCCTGATCAACCTGATCATAGAGCACATGATCTGTGATACAGACCCAGAGCTTGGTGGAGCAGTGCAACTCATGGGCCTGCTACGGACTCTGGTGGATCCAGAGAACATGCTGGCTACTGCAAATGTGAGTTTGTGCACTGCTTTTATATAATAATAATAATAATAATAATAATAATAATAATAATGACAATGCTAATAAGGCAGAATGTCTGGTCCTGTATGAGTTGAAAAAAGATGTAAAGGAAAAGAAAACAGGAAAATGGTTTGATTACGTCTGCACAGCTTACTTCTAAAAGAAGTGTAAGATATTATAAGTGGTTGGATATTAGTGCAGTCAGAGTGGGCCTATTGCTCACATGATTTAAAAAAAGTTGTTTTAGCGTTTGCAACTGTGAAACCATTTGCAAACTGCATTTTGAAAACCTACAATTTAGCAAAAGCACCCTTTTCTTTTCTCTTTGCAGAAAACAGAAAAGACTGAGTTCCTGAGCTTTTTCTATAAGCATTGTATGCATGTCCTCTCAGCTCCGCTACTGGCCAACACCACAGAAGAAAAGCCAAGCAAAGGTGCTGAATTTTTTAAGCTGCATTTTCATGCTAGGTCTCATTAAAATGTTGTTAAGAGCCTGTTGTTTGGCTTACTACTCCCCTCTCTTCTGTAGATGATTTTCAAACATCCCAGTTGCTTGCCTTGATTTTGGAGCTGCTAACATTTTGTGTTGAGCACCACACATATCACATCAAGAACTACATCATCAACAAGGACATTCTCAGGAGGGTACTGGTGCTCACTGCCTCTCAGCACGCCTTCCTGGCCCTCTGTAAGTCACGCTTGCCATTTTGGACTGTCATTTCTGGCCTTTGTCACAACTTTGCACCATAAATTTTTATTTTGACTCAAACGTGAAGGAATTTGGAGCTCTTATACATCTGCATTTTTGCATGTGCAGGTGCCCTGCGCTTCATGCGGAGGATTATTGGTCTGAAGGATGAGTTCTACAATCGTTACATCATGAGAAACTTCCTGTTTGAGCCCGTTGTAAAGGCCTTCCTTAATAACGGCTCACGCTACAATCTCATGAACTCAGCCATCATTGAGATGTTTGAATATATCCGTGTGGTGAGTGTCCTCTAAGCTTATTGTGTGGTTGTCAAAACCGTGTTTACGTAAGAAAGTGAAGAAAACATTACAGCTAAGCCTCATCTGAATGACATATTACACGATGTGTACATCTTCTGCTTAATCATCGACTACAAATTTATAGATCAGCTGAATTTAACAACTGTAGAGGAAAAGTTCCTTTAAAGCTGCCAGGATCAACATTATATTATATTTATTATATATATTATATTTTGTTGTTTACTTGTCAAATTTTTTTAACACATTCTTTTTCATGTATACTTTTCTTATCCCGTAAATCCCCACCCCGATCCCCATCTCTGCCCATTCCACTGCCTTTCTATCCTTTGTAACTCCAATTACTCCCAGGAGGATGTTAAGTCACTCACAGCTCATATAGTGGAGAACTACTGGAAGGCTCTTGAGGATGTGGATTATGTCCAGACATTCAAGGGCCTGAAGCTACGATACGAACAGCAACGAGAGAGACAAGACAACCCTAAATTGGATAGGTGAGAAAAGCAGTGTTCTTACTACTCTTAAGAAATCCTTGAGGCTGAGGATGTCCTGATAGACGTGAGTGGGAGCATTTCAAAGATCACAAGATCAGCCCCACCAAGGCGTTTATTCTCTGATCATTATCAGGTTCCCTGAGTTCTCTTTAACTCTAATGTAGTACAGTGGCTTTCAGTGTAAGTTTGTGAGCACATGACTATTAGCGTATCAAAACAACAACAGTAAAACACACAACTTTTGTTCATCGTCATAGTGGGACATTACCGTTACAAGTTTTAAGTGTTTCTGTTTTAAATGTCTCAGTTTGACCTTTAATGGTGTTACAGAAAGCGTGACTGTTTTTGTTTTTGTCAGAACTTTCTTAGTTACCTAACGGCGATATCCTGGATTGAGATTGTGCACAGACACACGGACCCTTTTAAAATGACGTGATCCGTGATATATTAGTTATGCAAGTCACAGTGATTGGGTGGTGCAATGACAGGCATGTTGTTTTGCATACATTAACTTAGATTTTTTTTTTAAAGCCTTCTCAAAGTTTTCTTTGCTTTACACCATGGTTGTGTAATGTTTCTTCTGTGATGGAACTATGGTGGAAATATGAAGATGTACTTTATTTCTGAACACCGGGCCCTTCTCCCCCTGCAGCATGCGCTCTATACTGCGGAACCACCGCTTCCGCCGCGATGCACGGACGCTAGAGGACGAAGAGGAGATGTGGTTTAATACAGACGAAGATGACCTTGAGGACGGTGAGGCAGTTGTTCCACCTTCTGACAAGATGAAGAGTGAGGAAGACCTCATGGAGCCTATTAGCAAGTTCATGGAGAGAAAGAAATGTACGTTTGAGAAAAACAATCTTTTTCTTTTTAGTGTCCCAGTTTGATGCACGATGTCTGTCCAGCATTCAGCATGTCTGCACGTTTTTTTGATGGTTTTAGAAAAACAAGCTTATAAAACAGCCAGATTAAATAAGTAAAATAAAGGACAGTGTGTTACAATTTCATTGTACTGTTTTTAGTGCAGGCATAGAATTGAATAGCCCACCTTTTCCAAGAACTGCTGTAAGGTCAGGTGGTTAAAAATGACCTGTGCATGTGTGTCATCGTTCTCGTGCAGCCGGTGTCCCCATCCATCCAAAGATCATGTGTTTTCAAAGACCTTTACCTGGATATATACTAGCATGTATAACAAATCTGTAGGATGTGTTTGTGTTTGATAGTAGTTTTTAGATTACGAATTTTAACATACACATATGTGTGTGTATTTCAACCCATAGTAAAAGACCCAGACGACAAAGAAGTGATGGGGAAGTCGAGCTTTTCAGGCAGGCAGAATCCAAGCTTCAAGCTTTCCTTTTCTGGATCCACTAAAACTAGCCTGTCCAGTCCACCTTCGGCCTCATTCAACGCCGGTTCTCCAGGCTCACCAGGTTCCCCGGGCTCAGGTGCACGGAACTCACCCCCAACAACAACTGTAACTACAAAGGTAGCCAATGTCTCCCAGTAAAGACGCTCATGTGGAGTTCAATGGATAAAAACTGGGTTTCATATCTGCATTGTTTGTAAAAAGAGTTTTAGCTGTGAAACATCACACCTACACCGTTATTTTCACACCACCCCTGTTTTGTATTGCTGTTGTCATCACTGCTAATGTGTTATTGGAGTGTACTGGCTTTTTAATTGCAGGCTTTATTTAGACAGGAATGGGGAAAAAGATTTCTATAGGACCTAAACAAAAAGAACACAAAAAGGTCATATTACATGTACTGTGCATGTGTTAGACTGAACATTCTTCCAGGGTGACATTTCTTTATTGGACAGATCTTTATTGGACAGCGGCACACTGTGAAAAGCAAATGTTTCAGCACAAGATACCATTCTAAGTTAAATGTCCAGTTCCATACCAGGCTGCCAGTGAGGTGTCTCACAAACTGGTCGGGATTCCTGGATTTATGGTATTTCTCTTGTCTTTCTCAGGGAGGCTTAGTGGGACTGGTGGACTATCCCGATGATGACGAGGAGGAAGAGGAAGAAGAGGATGGGGAGAGTAAAGAGGACCCTCTGCCACCTACGAAGAAGTCCAAACTGAGCTCGTAAAGCTCTGCAGCTCAGCTCAAACAGATTGGGAGTACAGACTCTCACCGGGATGATCAAACTTGTAAACAAATTAATTGAATGAAAGCCACCCCTGGTTGTCAGTGGGTGGCCGCGAGAGGAGCAGACTGTTGACACGAAGCCTCCTCAGACTCACCCAACTCATACAAGTGCCAATCAGGAGTCCAGGAGTGGAAGTACCGTCTGAAAAGCGACGAGGGAAAGCTTTGGGGAAGAGAAGATCTCTTTCAGGTCTTCAGTGGACTTGGAAAGCATGAGGCCGGTTAGAGTTTGGTCATTTTGGAACTGGGGAAAGACCACATACTAATACACATGTACATGCAGACTGAAATCCCTTTGAGCTCACATGCTTGGACCATAACTCACTGCCCCCTCCCCCTGCCCCCCACTCAGGGAAGGACATCACAGCGGCCCAGATGGGTCGGCCAATTCAGACCCAGAACCACCAATCGCACCCCCACCCCCTCTGAGAGTCCACTTCCTCTCTGTTCTTTTCTACTTTTCTTCTCTGCTCTTGTTCCCCACTCTGTCTGTTGCTTTTCGTCCCCTTTTAAGTTAGTATATAGGACCAGGTGGAAGGCGGCATGTGGCAAAGAGCTGTCCTTGTTGTCGTTTGATGATGTCATCATTGTCGTCGTCGTTCCTCAGCGGATGTTCTTTCTCTGAAGAGAAAAAAGCCAGCAGTTTCTTCATTTTCTTTTTGTTCTCTATTTGTCTCAATCTTTCACCTGTTTTGTAAATGACAACAAAAAGACCTGCCTTTAAATGTTCAGGACGTTTTCAGTCACACTTGAACAGGTTTTTAAAGACCTCAGTAGGTGAGCTAGTTTTACCCTTTTTGCCCTTTGAAACTGCAGATCTTTTGGAGAATTTGTAATCCCATCTTGATTAAAGATTGAGTGGAATTCTAGATGTGATGAATTTTGTCATATCTTCTCATTTTTTTTGTTTTTTCATGAGTGTACAATTAGTTGTTTGGAAAATTTGGGACCATTAAAATGATCTTTGCTGTAAGATGTCCTAATAACTTTTATGTTCTTTGTTCTATCTAACATTGATGCGTCATGGTTCCCTTCCTTTATAAGAAAACAACCCAGCTGTAGTAGCACAATCACAGTTTTTTTCTTGAGTTCAACACGATACCACAAACTATATGGCAGCGAAAGGCCTCTAAAGCTAAATACCGATCTGATGTCCAGCAGATCCTTTTAGTAGTGACTTTCAAATAAATCAGTATTCAATATCCAAAGTGCATGATTCACTTATTCTGTGAGGTAGTCCTACGACATGGTACAGCATGCATCTCTGTAAGCTATAAATGCGACAACTTATTGTCCATATTTAAGTTTATTTTACTCCCACTTCATGCAGTTACTGTAGGGACAAAGAAATGCCTTAACATCCCAAACTGTGATGGAAAGATTCGCTGGTAGCTAATGTCTCCTTGATCCACCAGGTGGTGCTCTAGTTCCACAGGTAAAATGTCAATAGACTTCTCTTCCTGTGGGTCATTTCTTCTTAATGCAGTCTAATTAGATTTTTTTTTAAATAGACTGAAATAGTTTTGGTCAGTCTTAGAAATATTCCTAGATAACTTCACACAACAGCTAAAATGCTTCTACCTGGAGACTTTTTTTTTTTTTTTTTTTTTTTACAGGCAGAAAGATGATGGGCATGATAACTCTAAGATTAGAATTGTAAGGACCCTTAACCTTTGAAAAAAAGACACATTGTACAAGGCAGCAGTAATCAGTTCTTCCTGGTGTTTTATTCTGTAAACAAGACTGTAGAAGTGACAGCTTCCAATTAAAGACCTGTTCTTTGGATGGCTAACAGCTTGTTGTAATGGATGTTTTTCAATGAGAGAACATGTACGGTTCAGATGCTGTCATCACCGTGAGCTTACAATGTCATAACTGGAAACCACAGCAGTCTGGTAGACCTTTTTTTTTTGCTGTTTAGTAAAAAATAGTTTGAAAAAAGTCTGCACCTCCCAGCTTATGTGGTCAACTCAGTGGGAGTTGGAGTACAACTCCAAAACAAACAGCACCGAGGCCACCAAGAAGTCACTGTGTTGTCCCTCCAAGTGCATTGTGGCCTTCAAACATTGTTTATTAATTAAAATCCAACAGAAGAGGATCACTGGGTGCCCAGTGTGCAATGAGAGCCGTCACACAACGCCTATTAAGGCCCCCAATCGCATGAAAGCCATCTCCAGACAACGGCGGCTTTTGAAGAGCGGCTCTCCCTGCCAGCCTCTGTTTGCTCCCCAGCGGGAGTGTGGCAGAGTCTGTCTGTGTGTGTTTGTTTGCGCCTTGTGTCTTTGCCACTGGAGAGGCCGGGCTTGCTCCTGGTGCCAGCTGCCGCTCCACCAGAATACCGGCTCCCTTTCCCCAGCCAAGTCTCTCGCCCCGCGCTGCTAGCCTGTGTGTCTGCCAGCCTGAAGAGTCCCCCATCAGGGACACTGCTGTCCAGTTTCCTGCTGGGTCAATGAAAAGCCCCTTTGACAGCTCTCTTGATCGGATCAGCTCCCGAAGCATTTGGTCTGCTGGTTATGAACTTTATCTGCATTGATCACATTTAGCAGATATCTATCCAAACACTCATACAGCAGCAGGGCATACCAGCATGATAGTCTGTGGACACCAAATCCAACACTTTCAACACACACTACACAGAAAGGACGCCACCAGGAAGAGGGAAATGAAGAGTCGCCCTCACCAGCAGTCGTCCCGACAAGGCCCCTTCACCTTCACTGATTAGAAGAATCTAAAAGTTTCCATCCTTGTATCCAAATCATTCTTGGCCTTGCAAACAGGAGCTGACAAAAGGCGACCACAGTTCAAGGTCCGCTGGCTGGACGGCTGCGCTGTTATGACCGCTTCTATTAAAACAAAAGCGAGCCCAGCTTGCAGACGCCGTCCCTATCATATCACCCAGACCCTTGAAATGAACGGGGAAGTGGAGATTGGGCCGAGTTCTGGGAACGATACAAACAGAATTCCGACGATTTTCAGGCCAAATAAATCCATTTCTGAAATGACTTATGCAAAAATGACTGAAATCTCAAGAGTTTGGAGGTTCTCACGTCAGTCGAACGGGCACTTCCAGGGGAATCATTGTGCTTTTGGATTGTTGGAAATAAAACATATTGTTGGCTTTTGCTGGTGAATTGTTTAAAGGCACATTTCTGTCTTTTAAAACTGCTGACAGCACCTACAGACAGCCCATAGGGGGCGCTACAGACCGCACAGGGAGCCCTGCAGAAATGGCAAATTGATGAATCCCAGCTTGCAATTCTCAGACTTGGCTACTGAACTCAAGTTTGCCTTTTCACTTATTCCATTAATGCGCGGGAGTTTGTGAAGTAACCCCCGCCGATCAGAGGAGCGCTAAAGATAACACGAGACGTTAAATGTTATTCAAATCCCGTGTAATCCTGCTAACCAAATCAGGATATGAAATAGGAAATGTGGCGCTCGTGCAGGTTTTCGGAAACCCGGCCGAGGTTGTCAAAACAGCCTGCACAAAGTCCACCTTCATGTCTGCGTCCCGGTCGGGCGTCGCGGGCAGACAATGACCCGTGTTCCCCGGAACAAAGTGCTCTCTGTGTCCGCCCCAGCTCCCCCGGCTTTAATGGAGGCCGATTGGCCGCGTTCAGCACAGCAAGGCCGCCTCGGTGCGTGATTAATCACCGCGTTAAAGCCTGGAGCTGAGCGTCCCCGGGGCCTGCGGGGGGGGACCCCGGAGGCAGCCCCCCGACGCCCCGGGTCAGCAACCGTCGGTAGCAAATGAAAGAGAGGAGGAAAGTCATCATCCGTCACATCTGGTTCACATTAGACTAGGGGTTGAGATGCTGTCACGAACAGAAGTCCATCATACTTCCCGTGATATTTCCTCTTAGGAAACCGGGGG